TGAACAGTAAGATCATAGTTGTGTGGGAATCTCTTTTCACACTGATCACACATGAATGATTTCTCTCCGGTGTGGATTTTCATGTGTTCTTTAAGGTGTGTTGATTGTGTGAAACTCTTCCCGCACTGATCACATACGTGCGGCTTCTCTCCCGTGTGGATCCTCATGTGCCCCGTAAGATGTGGTTTCTGTGTGAAGCTCTTCCCGCACTGATCGCATGTGAACGGCTTCTCTCCGGTGTGAACTCTCATGTGAAGATCAAGATTTAGTTTGCTTGAGAAGCTCTTTTCACACTGATCGCACATGAATGGTTTCTCTCCGGTGTGGATCCTCATGTGAACATCAAGACATTGTTTATATGGGAAACTCTTCCCGCATTGATCGCATGTGAACGGCTTCTCTCCGGTGTGGACCCTCATGTGTCTCTTGAGTTGTGCTGATTGTGTGAAGCTCTTCCCACATTGATCGCATGCGTGAGGCTTCTCTCCCGTGTGGATCTTCATGTGGCTCTTAAGGTGTATTTTCTGTGTGAAACTCTTCCTGCACTGATCACATGTGAACGGTTTCTCTCCGGTGTGAACTCTCATGTGAGCATCAAGATGTTGTTTGTATGTGAAACTCTTTCCACACTGAGAGCAGGTGAATGGCTTTTCTCCCGCGTGGATTCTCATGTGAAGCTCAAGATTATTTTGGCACTTGAATCTCTTTCCACACTCATCACATGTGAACGGTTTCTGGCCAGCATGAACTCTCACGTGAAGCTCAAGACATCTCTTGTTTGAGAATCTCTTTTCACACTGATCACACATGAATTGCTTATCTCCGGTGTGGATTTTCATGTGTTCTTTAAGGCTTGCTGATTGTGAGAAACTCTTCCCGCACTGATCACATGTGAACGGTTTCTCTCCAGTGTGAACTCTCATGTGAACTTCAAGATTATTTTTGTGTGTGAAACTCTTCCCGCACTGATTACACACGTATGGTTTCTCTCCCATGTGGATCTTCATGTGGCTCTTAAGATGTGGTTTCTGTGTGAAACTCTTCCCGCACTGATCGCATGTGAACGGTTTCTCTCCGGTGTGAACTCTCATGTGAAGATCAAGATGTGGTTTGCTTGCTAAACTCTTTCCACACTGAGTGCAGGTGAACGATTTCTTGTATCTTCTTTTCTTTAAAAATGTCTTTTTAGAGTTTGAGCGACTCAAAGGTTTTTCTCCAGGTTTGTCATGTTTCTCCTCCACTTCACTCAGTTCTTCACTCTCCTCGCTCTCTTCCATCAGCTCTGAAATGAAAGAAATAAAAAATGTTTACATTAATTTCCAGTAAATATTCAGTAAATAATTCAAAAACAGGAAAATAAAGTAAAAGGACATACAAGTGAGCCCTGATGAAGTAGCCTAAAGTAGACAACTGCTATAAAATATCACAGTCATTTTGATGCCTTTTTATACATTAATTATACATCCCTGAAACTTTCCGTAAATGAGTTACATTGATCTTTAAATTATTCTTTTTAAAGCATTATAGGCACAAATCCTATGTTTCTTTAGTGAGAACTACTAAATATATTTGATCAATAACAAAAATTATCTAATGTAATATTAACATTAAACATATACGATAGTGCCATAATGTTGATGCCAACTTTTAGATTGATATTTAATTTATTTTACTAAAAAATGCTTTAATTATTAGGGGCTGGTCAC